ATTTAAAGACATAATTAAAAAGGCTGTAAAATGAAGTGTATCTTCCAGAAGGTAAAATGAAAAGACAGAGTAAGAAAATATGTGGGAAGGGAATAAAATATCAACTCTACATTTTGACTAATAGGAGGTCAAGAAAGAAAGAAAACAGAAAATGGAAGAGATATATGTAATCAATGGGAAAAAAAGAACACTTTTCAGAACTGAAGAGCAAGAATCCTCACATTGCAAAACTATCAAGTGTATGGCCCTTCAAGTAAAAAAGACCCACACCAAGCCACATTATGAAATTCTGGAACTTCATGGGGAAAAATACCCTAAAAGCAACATACCAGGTTATATTCCAAGTATTAATAATTAAATACTGCAAGAGCAATTCTGCCCATCTAGAAGCTAGTGGAACAAAATTTTAATGGAAAAATAGATTTCAGCCCAGACGCCTGTACCCAAACTGTTAGTTAAGGGTGAAGACAAAGACTGTTTTAGGAATGCAAGACTTCAAATGACTTTCAGGACACCATTCCTAAGGAGCGTCTGCAGGATGTGCTCCAGCAAAAAAGAGGAGGGAACTAAGAAAGAAAGAAAAAAAAAACAACACCAGCCATAGACAGTAGTAGAGGGAGAACTCAGTCATAGAAAGTGTCCAGACCAGCTTGGAGCAAGGCTCTAGGAAGCTCCAGAAATGATGTTTCCAGTGTGGGGAAAAAATAGAACCAATATATTTAGGCGTGTGAGAGTTATAGATAGGTATAAAATAGAGGTGTTGTAACACGTGGGATAAATTAGTGATAGGTTCTTGTACAACTAGGCAAATAAAAAAAACAAACCTGAGGTCACGATTCCAAGAAAAAGAAAAAGTTATATAAAAAGGAAGTTATGGTCACAGTGCATTACTTAACCAGCTTAAGTTGAGCAATATTTGCAAAGTCCTAACACCATAAATACCTACTTTTGATTTAATTAAAAGTACCTCCTGACCATTTGGGGCATGAAGAAAGAGGAAGTAAGAAATGTGTTGGGAATGATAAGTCTTTATTTCCCATAGTAGGAAATCAAAAGATATCTAAAATTGATAAGTACAGAAACGGTTGTATAAATGTACCCTGCCAATAGTGTTGAGCATCAGTGTTTTGGTAGCAATTTACCAAAGACGCACAGGTGTTTTTTGCAGCGCTATTCCCTCAGGGGTCCTCCCAGTGAGAGCCTGGGGCCCAGCCTGGTGGCTGTGAGGGACAGAGGCGAACAGTCCCCAGCCGCCATTTCGAGGTAGAGAGACCGTCCCAGAGCTGGTCCCACACACGTCAGATACGAGCAAGTGAATTCCTCCCCTCATGTACAGTCACAAATAAGGACTCGAGTCTTCTCTTGTAAACGCTGCTTCTCTCCCAGACTGCTCCCACAGGTTGAAATGGGAGAAGAGGGAAGAGCAAACCGACATTCAGGATGCAAACTTTCTCATTGGACCAACGGGTTAACTGCTCATTATTTCCCTGTGTGGAGCATCTTTCAAAAAATAACCAAAAGACAAATGCATTTCTTCCTAAACCACACTCCATTGTCACAGTTTTTGGACCGTCAGGGAAGCTTGGACTGGATGCCTTTTTTTGTTGTTGTTCATTTGCAAACACCAGAGAATGATAGGGAACAAAGGGGAAAAAAGAGCCATAAACACAAATGAATTCCTTTTATACAAGTTGGAGAACCACAGGACACGCTCCTTTTTTATTTTTTTTTAACACTCCAGGTGTGGTGGGAGATTATGTATCCACACAGGAGAGTGGAGAGTTAATTAAAATTTTTGCTCCTACTCCCGGAAAGCAGTGTCTTTTCATTCGATAAGCAGGCTGGCTTTGGAGTGCTGTTTGTGCTCCTCTGTCCTCGCTGGAGTGTCACAGAAAAGCAGATCAAAGGGAACCTTCCCTCCATATAGGTTTCCTATCATCTTCCTCAACTAATGGACTTGAAAGCGTCCTCCGCCGACTGCATGGGGCTCATGTCCTATTTTAGAAACGCCACCTTACTGTGTTGATCGCATGCGAGTCTGCTTTGATAGACGCTGTGGAAAACCACACGGAACGTTAATTACATCAAGACCAGCCCCGATAGTGGGAGGAGTGGGAGGGTCTGGCGGAGTGTAACACCTCACCCCCTGCCATGTGTATTTTTGTTTTCAACTCTCCATGCGACAGCCAGATACTACACTTGCGACTGAACCCTCAGCTCTCATGAGCAACGTGGTTTTTGTGTTTTCCCTTTTCCTTTCAGTCTTTATGAATCTGTACCCTCTGGCTCATATCCCCTACCCAGAGGGGGAAAATTGGGAGAAATCCTGCTGTCTTTCTTTTTAAGATAGTGACAAAATGCAATAAAATAGAGCAAAAACGAAGCCGCCCCTGACGAGGCCTGTCTGAGCAGCAGGTCAGGCGGCAGTGGAGGGTGGCCACTGTCTTGTCGCTCTGGGTGCCGGCAGAGAAAACCTGGCTGGGGCACAGTCACCAATAAAAGGACTATATTCTGCCATTCAGGGCTTTGTGAGACGCCAAAGCTTGTCCTGGTTGCCATGGCTACTGTCTGATTGTGGCGGGTTTGTCACAGTGCTTGATAAAGTGGGAAGGTTATTCTTGATAGGCTCAAGTAATCATAACCTCGCAAAGCTTGAGAGAGTGGATTTAACATTCCCCACCCCCTCTCTAAATCAGAAATGCCAGGGTGGGGGCGGGGTTCTCAGGACAAAGCAGCCACAGCAGGTGCCCAGCACGAGGGCTACTGGCCTGAGCAGATCTGGAAGGGAGGTCCCCATGTATCCGGGGGACCAGGCAGAAGGAGGGGTTGCTAGGTCATTTGCTGCCACCTGGCCTGAATGGTGCTTCAAGGGACAGGACTAGAATAAGGTCCCTCCTGACCCTCTCCCTTAAGTAAATTGGTTACACCTGTGCCGCTCTCTCCTCCTTTCCTCCCTTAACTCCCTTAGCTTCCCCCCTCCTTTAACTTCCTTTTCTCTCCTTCCTTCCCCTCTCCTCCCTTCTTTTCTCCCACCCCTCTCTCTTCCTGCCTTCCATTCCCTTTTAACAGAACTGATCCTTTAGAAGTCCCTCTTCTCTTTCTCCTCACATGTGGAATGACGGAACAGTTAAGATCTGCCTGACAGCTGATGGACACTGGCCACAGCGTCACAGACTCTGTCCGATCAGCAGAGACCTAATTGATTATCAAGGCAGAGCTTCTCAGACTTAGCTGCCTCAGAAGTCCTGGGAGGATTCTTTAAACCGATTCCCAGGTCCCACCCCCAGAGTATCTGGTCTGGTTGGTCTGGGTAGAGTCCCAAGACTCTGCATCAGTGACAAGTTCCCAGCTGTTGCTGATGCTGCTGGCTCAGGGAGCACACTTCGAGCACCACTGATACAGGCCAAGGCTTACTTGATACAGTTGAAGAAACCAAGGCTCTCGCAGGATAAATTTATTGCCGGCTGTCCAAGTGACTTGGTAGCCATGCTGGGATGGGTGCTCAGTAACAGGACCTATAAAACTCATTTGAGCCCTGATTAGTGTGGCTCAGTGGGTTGGGCATCATCTCGAAAACTAAAGGTCGCTGGTTTGATTCCCAGTCAGGGCACATGCCCAGCTTGCAGGCTGGTCCCCAGCTGGGGCATGTGCGAGAGGCAACTGATCAATGTTTCTCCCTCACATCAGTGTCTCTTTCCCTCTATTTCCCCCTCCCTCTGTAAGTAAGTCAATAAATAAATATCTCTGGAGCCCATTTGAAAAGCCAGGGCTGGTTGTTCCCTCACCTCTCTTCCACTCCTTCCACTCCTCTAGCCCAGAGCAGCCAGACGAGCTGGTTCTGTTCCCCGAAGGCCCCCAGCAGGCCAGCCACTCACCACAGGGGGCCCCTCTGCAAGGTGCCACTGCCCAGTTAAGCCCACCCTCCTCGGTGATCTAAGCCCAGCTGGCCTTTAATTTGTATCTCCTGGGGTTCTCCCCTGGAATGCCCAGGGCCCAGCCCTGAGCCTGGGAAGCCTGCCATGGGCAGGGTTTGCTCCCTTCCTCTCTTGCTGACCTTGGAAGCCTCATGGCCCTGCTGACGGGCCATTTTGTATTTTGGTTTCTGGCGTGTCTGTGCCGCTGCCGATGCTGGACCGCGACCTCCAGCACCAGGATAGCGCCCTCACTCGCTGTGCGCCCACCATGGCTTCAAACGCCAGCAGAATGAACACGCGTGGCTGCCTCAGTTGCAAGGAATCTGGACACACGTTCACGGTGTTCAGAAGCCAACCTGCCAGAGATGGGGAGGCCAGTGTAAACACAGGATTGGGGAGGTGGTGGGAGGGCCGCACTTGCAGTGTTAGCGAGGACCCCGGGAGAAGAAATCAGGCCTGATGCAGGGAGCAGGCGTGCTCTGGAGCCCGTGCCGTGGCCTCACACTGGGGCTCCTCCCTGAGGGAGCCGGACTGAGTCTTTAATTCAAAGGCAAGTGTTGGGCCGGTCTCCTGCCTCCCATGCCGATTTGAAATAAAACATGGGCGAGCATTCATTTACCACTTTACAGCAGGCAGCGTGACACGGGCGAAGCTCCGTGTGTGTGCGCGTGCACGTGCATGCCTGGCCGTCGTGGCTGGATGCAAATGACTCGATCATTTGTCAACTGTAACTTCGCTCCCCACGACACGCTCCCACATCGTGCGAAGCAGTGTGTTGTCTGTGCCCTGAATCTGTCTTCAAGGCCAGGCGACAGTGCTGCATCCGTGAACCAAGAATAAGCAAAATTAATGGGCCGGTCCTTTGGCTTCGATTCCTTGCCACACAGACGGGGATGGGGCCAGGAGAGGCCCCAGGTGGGCAGTTTGGCTCTGAGCTCCTTAAGCACGTCAGAGCCAGGGCCTCCAAGCTGAGGGACACCCCACCCCTTTCTGCTCTGTCAAGTGGGTGGGTTGAACGGCCCCTCTCAGTCACTTGGGTGCCAGCCTGAGGCGGCAGCATCCCTGACAGTGGCCTTTCTCCCTTAGGGTGTCGAGGTGCAGACGGACTACGTGCCCCTGCTGAACTCGCTAGCAGCCTACGGCTGGCAGCTCACCTGCGTGCTCCCAACTCCCGTCGTCAAGACTAACAGGTACAGCAACCATCTTTATGATTATTGAAGACTTACCTGGTGCTAGGCGCTGTTCCCAGTAAGCGCTTCGTGTACGTAGCTTGTTTAATCCTGAGACAAGCCCGTGAGGCTGGTGTGGCTCCATGAACTCTCCAGCTGGGACGTGGCAGAGCTGGGATTCAGGTTCCTAACCCCCCTCGCCCAGAGCTCTCACACCTGCACCCTCTTCCCACGTGGGGAGCCCTGGCCGGTGGATGGCTACAGCCCAGCCTGTCAAAGCTGGGCGAGCCGTCTGGACTGAGAAGGCCCACAGCTGTCAGAAGGGCTTCATTTGCAAAAGAAATTCAGCACCTACTGTGTGCCCTGTGCCAGGCTAAGTAGGAACTTGCTATATAGGATCTCATTTAGTTCTTGAAAATCCTATGAGGTGGATATTTAAAAATTAAACTCATTTTATGGTGGAGGACAGTGTGGCCAGGGAGGTGGAAGGACTTGTCCGAGATTATGACGAGCCAGCAGCCCCCCAAAGAAGAGGTAAAGTCTCGGAGTTGTGGCCCTGGCTGGTGGCAGTTCTGACGATTTCACATTCGTTGTGGTTTGTCCACCCTGAGCTCTGCCCACCGTCGCTTGAGCACACCGGCTGGTCTCAGTCAGTCCCATGCTAAAAGGCCTTCCCCCCAGGTTTGCTATCTAAAGTAGTCCTCCTGACTATCCTGTAAGCATAGATATGATTCCCAATTTACAGATGAGGAAACTGAGGCTCCGAGAGGCTCAGTCACACACCTGAGGCCACACCACCACTAAGTGGCAGAACCTGGGACTAGAACCTCAGTCGGAGAATTAAGGGTTCCTTCTCCTACACCAGGCCGCCTCTCTGCCCGCCTATAGGGGTGCCCCTCCCGTGGGCCTCGGTGCTCTGCCCACCCCAAGTCCTGCTGCATCCCCATCTCTGCAGGATGACGAACAGCCTGGGGCAAGGCTGATGATCTGGGGAGGTGGTAGGGCAGCACGGCCCCAGAGGCCAGGCTGAGAGTGGAGGATGGCGGTGACAATCAGTGCCTTTCCCGGGTCCCTCTGCAAGCCCAAGATGGAAGGACTCCTGATCCGGAACCCAGAGGACAAGAATCACTATGAGAATGTCTTTGAACGTGAAGCCCCAGCTGGTTCTGAGCAAAGCCCAGGGTGCAAGGAGGCCTCTGTCCATCTGTCTCAGCGAGTAACACCTGCCAAATAATTCTCCCTAATCCCCCACTTGCCCTGTGCCTTAAAGGTCCCCTCGTGGTGGAGTGGGAGAGTGCCCTGAACCAGGCACATCCGAGCTTGAATCTCAGTTGCGTGCTCTCGAACCTGCTCCTTAAGCAAGCTTTCACCTCCCATCTGTACAGGTGTCTGTCGCAGTCCTGGGAACGAACGCCGTGGGGAGGCCTAGATGAGGCGTTGTGTGTGGCCTCACCTAGCCCTGAATACCACAGGAAATACTAGTCCTCTCCCTCCTTACCCTCTGCCACCCATGTGGGGACCCTTGCCTCAGCAGAGAAGACTGTCACAAAACAGAGGTTTAAGAATGTGATCAGAGGGTGGGGACAGGGGGTGGTGGGAAATAATGACCCCTGCTTTACTTGACAGTATTTTATCATCCCTAAAGGCGGCTCCGCAGGGGCCTGCCTTCCTGGAAGAAAAGCGCACACACTGGGCCGTAAAGACGAGTGGGGCCCCTGAGCAGCCCCTCGGCGGCTTGGGTAATGCCACTGCCTGCCTCGCTGGCCGCCTTCATCTGTGTGCCCGCGGGAGCGACGTGGCCCTGCTGCTCAGGGGGCAGGTGAATTGGGCTGTCACTGGGACCCGTGCGAGGCCAACCCTCTATCTGCTGGGCTCAAGGGGGCTGCTGGGCTCAAGGGGGCTGCTGGGCAGAGCTCTTCCCCCCAGGTCCTCATCTTCCTGCCCATCCCGGCTGACCGGACCCCCCAGGGCCTCGTTCCCAAAGACAGACTGGGGAGAGGCCTGCCAGCCACCCCTTCGAGAGTCACTAAAGAAGCCAGTTTGTCATCATTTGGCCAGGATGCTGGCTGTTATTTCACACCAAGGGGAGAGAGTTTCTAGCTGTGAAGCTGACTTTGCAGGGACACCCACCATGCTTTTGGTGGACCCCTGAGGTGCTAGCCCCCCAGGAGCAAGGGCGGATGGCCTGGGGTGGGAGACCCGGGAGTGGGGTGGGGGCGCTTCTTGATTCCAACCTCTCGCTGTTCGGTGGCAGCTCTGCTTCCTGTGCGTGGTCAGCCTTGGTGAAGTGAGGGGCTGCCGCGTCTGTGAGGTGTGGGGCTCCCCAGGTCCGACCTAACTCACTCTCAGCAATGCGTGTCTTACAGGGAGGGGAATGTATCCACCAAGCAGATTGTCTTTCTTCAGAGACCATGTCTACCTCAGAAAATCAAGAAGAAGGAGTCGAGGGTAAGTCACCTTGATGGCCTCCCTTGCGTCTCTTTAGCAGGGCTTCACCATCAAGTGCATTTGTCTGCGGCAGTCGGGTGGGCAGCCTGCCCCGACTGCCAGCAGCTCTGAGCCCAAGGGCACCTGAGCCCCTTGGCAAACTGCATCTGGCCTGAAGCTGCCAGAGTGGGACAGATGAGGGCACTGGAGGGCCTTGTCTGCCAGTGTCCCGCTGCTGGCCAGGCCAGGAGAGCGGAGGAGAGAGGTTCTTCTGCACATGCCAGCCTGCCAGATATTCCCGCTGGGCTAGAAATAGGGGCATGAAGTCAGCTGCATTCTGACGGGAAGCGCTTGGGGCGGGGGCTGGAGCTCAGGCCCAGTATCCGTATCTGCATCTCATTACCGGCTGGCTGGAGCTCCCGCCCGCCTGTCACCTCCCTCAGGACGTCAGGAGTCTGGTGACCTTGGCACCCAGACCCTGCTAGAGCTCCTTTTTGACAGGCCCCTACCCGAAAGCCTCTGAGTGACAGCGGCCGGTCTAGACAAGGCCAGCCTCTGCCTGCAGCAGCGAGTCCTCAGGTCAGAGTGCCCTGCGGGTTGCCCAGGTCCTCTTCCCCTCACTGGTTGTTTCAGGAACCATCCAGGAAACTCGGTTGCACTGAGAGGTGGTGGCCATTCTCAGAACACTCCCCACGTTTGGTGATGTCCAGCCCAGGTCCTCTTCCCTTGTGTCTGGTGATTCTGATGTTTCACACCTCATGCATTGTTGCCAGTGGGTGCTGTTCCCATGGACCAGTGGCTCAGGCGAGTCAAGGGTGTCACCTGGAACCAGCTCTGCCTACCTTTGATGGCCAAGACCATGCTCTCCCACAAGCCTGCTGGGCCTGCTCTCTCCTGACCCTTGGCACCAACCCTGCGCTCCCAGACCTGGCTTCTCGTGTTCTGTGGACACAGAGCCCGGACAGGAGCACCACACGAGTGAACAGATTGGAACAGCCCCTCACCAGCCAACAAATCCAGGGGGAACCCATTTGTGGGGTGAACGCCAAGGCAATGGCACCGTGAAGCCAGATGGGGTGGAGTGCAGAGGACAGTCTCTCTCCAAGCTCTGATGCACTAATGTGACAGGTGACAGCAGCAGAGAACCAGAAGGCAACTGCCAAATCCGCCATTAACCACCAGGAGCAGTCAGCCGCCGGCTGGAAGATGGATCAGCCGGGGCTGCTGTCAGTTGCGACTTAGCCATAGGCGCCAGGGGACTCTGCATGTTCACAGAGTGACATTCAACAACAGTGCAGGCACGGTCTCCATCAGACATCAAAATAAACCCTCTTTTGCCTTTAAGGGGGCAGGGGTTGAGGGGAGTGCTGCCTTTTCTGGGCTGCTGTCCGGGTTGTGGTGCTGATGGATTCCACAGCAAAGACCCTCAGCTTGATGTTGCTTCAGGCCATGCATCCCGGAACGTGATGGCCATCGGAAACTGGGGTGGGTGGGTAGGTTTTTGAGGTAGAGCTTAAAAGCTGGTGCAAGAAAGTAGAAGGACTTTCCTTGGGGAAAATCCAAAGAGGACGGTAGTCATTTATTTTCTGGTCAGTGGAAACTTCCAGTCCTAATCAACTACGCAAATATGGGCTGGCCGCTTTCTCCTTGAAAGTGCTTATGTATCCCCTACTCATTCCTCAGGTTGGCTGGTGCTGAGCACTTGTTCTTGGTGTGATCTAGAGAGATCACCCACTCGTGGAGTCCCAGAGAGGGGACTTTTAAGCAGATACCTTGTCTCTGTCTCCTCATCCCTGTCATTTGCTCCTCAGTGGACTCAGGTGGGCGTTCTGCTCCCACAAGGTCTGCACACCCCCGTGATGGTGGCAGTAACCCCATCCAGTCCTGATGGTGCCTGAGCTGCCTGCAGTCCTGACACTCTCGGCTGCCTCTTCCTCTTGAAGCACCTTTTTCTCTTGGCTCCATCCGCACTCTCCTGGATTTCCACCAGGTTCCTCAGGGTTCAGACCTGGCCCTGTTTCTCCCCTCACTCTCTTACCACTTCCTTAGAAGTCTCTTTCATCCCCAGAGTTAGAAAATCTCACTCACCACCTCTGGGTCATGACTCTTGTGTCTGCAGCTCTTGCTTCTCCCCTGAGGCCCAGCGCACCTGCCCAGTCACTGCTCAGCAGTCTCAGGGCAACTCGTGACTTTGCCCCTCCCCTACACCTGGCCCACCTCCCCTTACCTAGAGAAGTGGACCACCACCAACCCAGAGACACCCGCCCACCTAGGGGCCATCCTTGACTCTGCCCATCTCCTTCCCCTTATCAGTCAGTCCTTGAGGCATGTCTGCTTGAGGCCCTAGAATCTCCAGAGTCCTCTGCTCCTCTTCCCCCTCACTTGCCTCAGCTACTTCTGTCTCTGGATGACAGGTCTCCCTTCCAATGTGTTCTCTGCTCAGAGCCAAAGTGAGCTTTTGAAAAAGCCAATGGAATCGTGTCACCTACTGCTTAAAACGGCCCTAAAGCCTTGTTTTAAGATAAAGATGGAGCCCTGGCCAGGCGACTCAGTTGGCTGGAGCATCATCCTAATATACCAGGGTTGCAGGTTGGATCCCCAGTCAGGGCACCTGCAGGAATCAACCAATGAATGCATAGTGAGTGGAACAACAAGTCAATGTTTCTCTCTCTCTCCCTTCCTTCCTTCCTTCCTCCCTCCCTCCCTCCCTCCCTCCCTCTCTCTCTCGAATCAATTTTTTTAAAAAAAGATAAAGGTGGAAATCTGTAATGTGGTCCCCAGGTCACTGTGTGAGCCGTCCCCACGTTCTTGCTTTCCGGCTCTGTCGGCCTAGCCTTCCGTGCCTCTCCTGCCTCAGGGCCTTTGCTTTGGCTGTTCCCTCTGCCCAGGACACTCTCTTCCATTGTATTTCCTCGGGACTGTGTGATGCCTCGGGAAGAGCCACACTCCTCTCCCCCAGAGCTCTCCTCTAGTTATTTGCGCTCATTCTCTTATCCTGTCCTGGTAGATTCAGTCCATGAGGGTCTGTTGTGTGCCCAGTACCCAGCTTTTAGGTGGCACTCAACAAATATTTGTTGAATCACCAAATGAGGAATCAAAATTCTGAGCCTGGGACATACCTGTTGTGGCCACCATTAAAGGTTAAGAAAAGAAGTCCCAAGACTGACACACCAGGGAGGAAGCGTATTTAGTTGCCTTCTCATCAGCGACGTGGACCAAAGTCTCTAATGAAGGCTTGCCAGCATTTGAAAGAATCCTCTTGGTGTGTGAGCATGGCTGTCAGGGCAAACCTGAAACTCCTTCGAAGGTGATAGGAGGTTTCTCTGACACTCAAGGTCTTCCTTCCAGCTAACCTAGCTGAAGTGGGGCCAGATAACGGACAGTTTTTAAGATGTGTGAATTAAATCCATCAGTCCCTGCTGACACGGAATTCTGGTCACACACTGCTGGAAAGGGAAGGCCGTTTTCCATTCCCGCAGTTGTTCCTGACATGGACAGCTATTTGGAATCTCCCTTAGTGTGGGCCCTGGCAGCACGCCCAAGTGCCCAGACACCCTGCTCAGGAAGACCGGCATCGGCGGCGCGACCAGCAGGCTGCTGGTTGCGTTCAGAGACTCCCTTTGGTGCTGCCCCAGATACCCAGCCTGTCCTCCAGGCGGGACCGCCTGCCTTTAAGTGTAGATGTGACCAGCCTCCTCTTGGAACCTGTCACTGTCCCAGGGGTGCCACTTCCCTGCCTCTCCTCTTCTTGCTTTCTGAGATGTCATCTTTTTGAGCTCTGGGATCTGGAGCAATTTTTTGTTCTTTGTGAGAGACCGTGACTGTCCCCAGCTTAAAGCAGGAAGAGAAGCCTGGGTGGTGAAGGGGGCAGGTGTGGAGATGGAAGAGAGGGAGACAGAGGAAGCCCTTCCGTGGATGATGGCACGGCTGGCGGCAGGGGGAGGCCTGGAGGCTGGGGGAGGCCTGAGGTATAAGGGGTGTGCTTGTTTCCCAGCTATTTCTCACACAGCGGAAGGGCCCAGGTGCCTTTCCTAGCTTGGTGGCCCTTAGACTGTGGTCCCTGGACCAGCAGCGTCAGCCTCGGCTGGAGCTCATTGGAAATGCAGTCTCCCCGACCCCTACCCTGAGGCCCACCCCGAGGCCCACTGCGTCCGATGGGGTGAGTGATTTGGCTGAGGGGGCCAGCCCTCCTGGTGATCCTGACGCCCACTCCAGTCTGAGAGCTGGTGTCTTAATTTAGTCGGCCCTTTCCCGGCTCACCTGTGGACCTCCGTCCACATTTTATCACTATTGATTTTTTAAAAATGGGCCTGTCAGGGAGCCTTCAGTGTACATACTTATTTCTAATAAACCGAACCAAAGCATCTTTAATGGCAGTTAAATCTGGACTTCCATTAGCTGGCCACCGGGCCTAATGAATCCAGCGCCTGGCCCAGCAGACGCGCCCGGACGTGACCAAGTCAGAGAGCTGAGGCGCTCGCGCCTTGGGCCGAGCCACCCAAGCTGGGTTGCCTCTCCCTTTGCTTCCGCTCCTCTCTTCTCTCTAAGGCAAGAGTCAAGGCCCTTCACCCACCAAGAACGAGAGTCTGGAAGGGTAGTGTGGAGCCATAGACAGCTGGCCTTGGATCCTAGCTCTGCTCTGTCCTAGCTGTGTGCCTTCAGGCAAGTTAACTCTCCGAACCTACACGCTCCGCTGTGAAATGGCTCTCACAGTGCCTCTTCAGAGTATGGCTTCGGGGATTTGGAGAAACGGGAAGCCTTGTCTCTGTGGGAGACACATAGTAGGCACCTTGGTTGTGTTCGTTCCTCCTAGGCAGCTATTCTACAGGCGGTCGGCCTTTGCAACTTGGAACACTTAGCTTTTAGATTATACACACCCTGAGTTTTGGCCGCTGCTACTTGCCTGCTTCATGGGAATGTCCCCACGAAGGAGAGGAGGAGGGAAGGGGCAGACTCGGGTCAGAGCCTCCTGGGGGCCTGGCTACAGCTTGGCGACGGCTGCAGTGGGATCGGGGGACCCAGACAGCGTGGGGGTCCACGATGGCACTGCCAACCTCTCTGAGGACACAGAAAACAGTGCAATCCTAGGAGGGATTTGGCCTGGCAGATTTTTCTGTTTTTACTCTGAAAGACATTAAACATTGGCTGCAGTAGTGCCCATCCAGCTCAGCTCTGACATTCCTGAATCGTCCTCTGCCCAGCAGGCCACGCGGGTTCCTGGAGAAAGTGGCCCTTTCCACAGGCTGTGTCCTTCTGTTGTATTATATCAGGAGGTCAACAAAGTGTGGTCTTCTTCTGTAAACTGGATATGGCCGGGTGTCCGGAGGAACCACAGGCCTTCTGTTGTTGATGCAGCAAGAGCAGCCCCCAAGACAGTGTCTGGGTTTGTGTTAGTGAGTAACTCGTGTGGAGGACAGAATCTGGCACAGGTGGAAGCTGCTTGGTCGTGTAGCCCCCAACTGCAGGGAGCGCTGTTCTCACCCACTCCTGTGGACGGGCCCCTGGGGTGTGCACTGCAGAGGCAACTGTTTTAGAGAAGAGGCACTTGAGACTTGGAGAGATTAATAACTTGCCCGGGGACAGAAAGCTATCAAGTACCAGAACCGGGATTTGAACCGGCAGCTCAGCTGCTGTACTATATAGTGCTTTGATGCTTTAGCATTTAGGACTTTACAGCCAAAGCAATCTCACCGCTTATTTTAGCAAAAGGAAAACTTCCTCCATCGTCCCTGATAGCCAGCTGCCTCTCAGAGTAAGCAAAGCTTAACTGGTGTTTTTCTTAAAGCAAGTAAAAATGCAGAAGCTGTATTTGGGGACATGGATTTCCCTTTAAGGCTCTTCCATTTGGGCTGGAGTTGTAATGCAGTGGCAGCTGCTGCCTGTGACTGGGCAGCAGTTACAAACCATGATTCTTGTGCCCCAGAGTCACAGGGGGTTGGTGTCACCCAAGAGCCACAGAGGGTTGGCATCAGAGGCGGTGGCAGGGCCTCTGAAGCCCCAAGTCGGCGTCCTGCACTCGTGGCTACGGAGCTGAGTGCCCGCTTCAGCCTAGGCTGAAGTGGGCACCACTGGGGTGGGCATCTGAGGTGCCCCTTTGCCTGTAGAGGAGTTCCACTGTTGGAAACCTGTGGCTTAGGTGGAAGCAGCTCAAACCATTTCCAAAGGGAACTCTGTCAGCTATAGTATGAGAGAGAGAATCCTCAAAAAGGAGTGTCTGGGCAAAACCCTTCTAACACCGTAGGTGAACTCCTTTGGGGACTTGGGGGGAAGGGGGGTGGGTGAGGATAAGATAAATGTGAAATCATAGCCTCGACGTGCATTTTGCTCCTCTTTATCTTTGATGGGACATTCATACTTACCAGCCTTGTCCAAAGGTGCTCAACCCAAGAACCCTATGATGCGTTCAATCTCAGAACCTGGGGAGTGTTTAGGCAAATCTGTTACTTGGGGAAATAGATTTCTGCTATGGAAAATTCTGCAAAGGTGGCAGATTTTTAAAAAATTTACATAGCACATTTTTGGTGTTTCCTAGCAAGGCACTCGGTTATTTACAATGTGCTGCAGCCTTAAGAGATCCATCGTTTTCCACCAATGGCGAGGTTGCAATCCTGGGCTCCCCTCCCCAGCCCAGCGGGAAGCTGTCGGAACCCAGGGCTCCCCTGGCTTTTGTTTCAATCACAGAACATCTGAGATTTGAGTCCATATTTGGCAAAACCAGTGTGGTGTGACTCAAGTAGAAAGAAATGACCGTGGTGGGAACTTGAACTAAACTCCTGGGTGTACGTACCATGAGTCAGTGAGCCACACCTGCAGGTCGGCCATGCCTCGTGAGTCTCTCCTTCTGGGTGAGACCCTGCAGTGGGGGCCCTGACTGGCCCCCATCTGCCCACCCCTCGCTCCTCTGGGGTTCTCTCGTGTTCTCTGTGCCTTCACCACTCTGTGCCCGGCATGCCCTGAAGGTCCCATGGCTGCCATCTTCCCAAGCATACATCACACAGCTGTCTGGCACCAGACTCTGACCCAGTCCACCCAGAGTGTACTGACCCCGCCCTGAGCTCGGAGGTGGAGGCCATCCTGGGGATACTGGTCCCCACTAGGCTGACAGAAGTCAGAGGGGCTTTTGCTCAGGAAGACTGGGGAGACACTGGATGTTTAGGGAGTGGAAGGGAAAAGCTGCAGTTCTTTGAGTCGTTAACCCACAGAATGCATTCCTCATTTATAAAGACAGGGACCCATGTCTTCGAATCTTCCAAGGTGTATTTTCTAACAACCTTCAGTGTTTCCACGTCTTCTCAAGCTCATTTGCCCAGATGTATTCCAGGCACACAGGCTGCTAAACTGTCTTCCTCGGAGACAGTTCACGTAGTAGTCAACAGACTCAGCAGGACTTCGAACGTTTTCCACTCTTTTTCTTCCTTCAATTAATTTCTCTTCTTGGAGATCAACCAGAAATAACGTGCAGATGCCCCCGTCCCTCCTCATTAAACCCTAAGCTGTGTTTTGACTAAAAACAGGACTGGGTCACCCTGAAGCACAGTGTGGCCGGCATGGGGGGCGCTGCCATCCTCCCCATGATGGATCCCACAGACGGGCTCTGAGCGCCTGCTCTGTGCCGTGCCCCAGGGACGAAGGAGGCCAGATGGCTCCCCCGGCCTAATGGAACTCACATCTGATGTCAATAATGGTGACGGCCACATATCTGGTATATTATGTGCCGGGCGCAGTGCTTAAACCCACGACATGAATTATCACATCATCGAAACCACATACATACCCTGTAAGGCAGGGCTCGACACACCGCAGCCCAGGGGCCGAGGGCAGCCCGCCGCCTGTTTCTGTAGATGAAGTGTTGCTGGAGCACAGTCACGCTAGTCTGTTTCCGTGTTGCCTGGGACTGCCTTTCTGCCGCTGTGGTAGAGCTCGGGGGTTGCCGCAGAGACCACGAGGACTGCAAAGCCAACATAAAATATCATCTGACTTGTAGAGAAACACTTAACTGGCCGTGCTTTCACAGAAAATCAAGTCTCTAACCTTGGTTCTAGTTAGCGTTACCGTCCCCACTGTATAAATGAGGACACTGAGGCCGAGGAGTGAGGCCGGTGAGTGGTGGAGTTGGGACTCTTCATGCACGGTCTCACCCCACAGCCCTGATACGTCTGATCTTGTGTGGCTCAGCTACGGACTGCACGACCTGTCTCTTCTCAGGGCCTCTGTGATGTCCCTGCTGTGTGGGGAAACGTTGGTGGCAGGTCGAGTTCCCTGGGAAGCAGGGTCTGAGATAGGTTTGGATGGTGGAGGTTTTTGGGACTGGGGCGGTCCCCTTAGGACACACCTGTGGGGACAGCAGGGCACAGAAGCCGGCCAGAGAGTTGAGCTGTGACACTGTCTCAGCGGTGGCCTCAGCCAACCCTCCGGGCACCTCTGGAGCTGGGATGTCCTTTCAGAGTTGTCCCTAGTTGGGACAAGGAGGCATGGGCTGCCGTGCCCCACCTGGACCAGCCCTTCGCTGTAGATTGCCCCAGGAGGTGGTGGGGGCTGTCAGCAGACCACAGTCCCACAGCTGGGACATAAAGCCCGCCAGCACAGGGGGACCTGGGCACCCCACAGTTGGTGCCCTTCTCACTCAGGTGAGGGAATCCCGGCCCAGGGCTTGGTAACCCATAGCCAGCTGGGAGCCCTGGTGCTTGGGAGGGGCAGGCCCCATGTCCCCTCCCCGTGCTGGTGGTCCAGATGATAGGCTTTCAGGACCTCCCTTTCCAGACTTTTAGTTGGGGCCAGTTGAAAGAAGTACTCCTTGGCCCCCACAACACCCTAAAATCCATCCACCTCTAAAATACACGCACACCATGGGCCACACCAGTGACGGCATCAGGCTGATTCTCGTGGAGGGTGTGATGTGTTTGGGCTGTGGTTGAAATTTGCCCTGCCCCTGGGGTGCTGGGAATTGTGTCTTGCTCTGGAGAAGTGACGTGGGTGAGAAGTTCCAGTGAAGCTCTGGGTCATGGAGACTGCATTTATTTATCCCCATCCTCTCTGATGTTCAGTTTCAGTGGCGATTCTCCAGAGAAGACGTGCACAGCAGGCAGATGAGGAAATCCAAAGGGAAACTCAGTGCCAGAGACAAGCGACAAGCAGAAGAGAATGACAAGAATTTAGAAGACCAGTTTTCCAAGGCCAGAGATGTGGGCAACTGTGTGCCGAGCCGGCAGCAGGACGACGGAGCCGGGGAGGAGATGAAGGCCCCCGCCCAAGAGGTCATGGGAGAACAGCTGTGTCCTGATGGCCGGCTCTCTGTGGAGGGCGGGGCCGTGCAGAACGGTCCTGCGGGCCACTGCGGGGCCCCGGCCGGGGGCTGTGAGGGGCACTCAGGTCCTGCCGAGGATGCCAGGGAGGGAGGTGCTGAGGAAGTGACTGCAGAGACAGCAGAAGACAACTGAGTCTCAGCAGCTGGCGCTGAAGCCAGATATGCTGGCCAACCAGAGGCACTGTGCTGGCAGCCAGGCCGGGGCTGCTTTGCCCTGGTGTCCTGCGTTACCCTCTGGCTTGGCTTGACCTCTCCTTGTGAGCTCACATAGGCCCGCCAAGGGCCAGCTCCCTGACAGTGTTGGTTTCTGCACATCCATTTGAAATGTGTTGTAATGCCCCAGTGTTAGAATGCAAGAGGTCAGGTTATTTCTTCTAAACCTCAGGGCTGAAGGCCCAGCCTTGGCTCCACCACTCCTCAGTGGGAGGGTCTGGACCATTCAGTGCCTGTGTCCGCCCCCTAGGGCCTCCAGGGAGCATCTGGGTCAAGTCCATGGGCCTCCCAAGCTACAAACCAAGACTGTGTGTTTTCATTCCCACACTCTGCCGGGACAGGGTCCATCCTCACTGTTCTCTGCAGTGGCCCCCGGTGAAGGTAACAGCCCCTGGAGTCCTGTCAGCTGCTCTTCACCCGAACCCCCAGACCCTGCTGCTTTGGCAAAGAAAATGACATTAGAGCAGGGAGGTGCCCCACCCCGAGCTTTTCTCAAAGCGTTCCCATAGATGCTGGTAATCTGGAAGTAATTCTGTTTGTGCACCTGCCCTTGCAGAATGTCCGAGAAAGTATTCTGTGTTAGCATTAATGCCAAATTTTTTTTAAGGTTTTGTATTCAGCACATCATGTGAACTCACGTTCTTTCTGTCATTTCGGGGCACCCCAGTTAGTTGGGCGCCCTCGTCGTGTGCTATTTTAATCAGTGTATTATTGGCCAAGTTGATTCCCATGTATGCTACCACGTGTTTATATTGTCCAGAAAGTATCGTTAAGGCTTTAAGTAGATACAACTGGTGTCTTGACCAAAACAACAGCCTGTCTCTTCCTTGTTTAGTTACTTAAAGCAATAAATCATCTATGAGTTAGAGCATTGTGAGGACTGGGTGTTCATTGTGTCGCAACAAGAAAGTCCCAACCTGATGTCCCAAGGACTCCGTCTGGCATCCCTCAGGCACGTTTCCTAAGTCACAACTCCTGGCACGTGATGACCTGAGAGAAAATGAAGCTCCCGTGTGCAAGAAGAGAGCCGGCTGAGCACACTGTGCGTTCTTGTCACGTGTAGAGAGAAGGCAGACTGGGATGCAGGTGCTGCCGGGTACGCCGGGGGCACAGCCCCCTCCCATTGCTGGGGGTGAGAGCAGCCAGTACCTTTTGAAAACAAACAATAGCCCCACACTGAGCTTTTAAGTAAATTATTTAATGAGGCAAGTCTTTTCCCGTTTGCAAGTCTGCTAAGATAGAACACATTTGTTGCACGTTTTTATAGGGCAGAATTGAAGACCCTTGTACAGAAGCATCATGCAGGCGCTTCCGTCCTGATGGTGGGGCAGACGTCCCCACCCAACCCCACTGCTGACCTAGAAAGGTTGAAGGCTCTCTGTTCAAAAATAACGCTTAAAATGGCATTTTTCCATAATTAGACTCAGGAATATCTATGCGGCATCTTGATTTAATAAAAATGTTATCTCTTAGCCCGTATCTTAGAGGATCACAGCTTTTTTTAAAAAAAATATGCTAGTTAGCAGCAGGCTGGGACAGAAACGACACTCATCTTTCACAACTTTGAAAAGCCTGTGATCCCAGGCTGAGTCCCCCAGGGCTGGGCTTACACCACTCAGCGTTGGGTACATTTTTCAATAATTAAATGACATTTATGTTGGCTGAATGTGTCATGGGAAAAAAAAATTAAAGGTGACTTCAGCTCATTTGAATTCCTCAGGAAATTGGGGCCTACAGCCAAACTAACAAATAATTCCTGAAGATCTTGGTTTTTTCCTCTCACTTCTCCACACCCCTGCTGATAGTTGGCAAAATGTCCATCTACTGCAGGCGGTTCTCAAATTGGCTGCATGAATGGATCACTGGAGATTTAAAACCCAATACCTGGGCCCCACCCCAGAGACTCGGAAGTGCTGCTCTGGGCTGGGTATCGGGACTGGTAACCCCTCCCTGACCCGGGGATTCTAAGGTGCAGCCAAAGGTGAGACCCACTGGCCACAGGCCTGCTACAAATCCAGTCACAGCTTGTTCCTTGTGAAATGCAATGCTTTAATGAAAGGTAAATACCTGAGCCCCTAACATCCAATCCTAACACCCTGCATGTGCATTGCAAATGCATTGCAAATTCCTGAAGGAAATTTTAATTTCCTGTGACTGGTGACAGTTGTGTGGGTCATCGTTGGCATGGACAGGGCCTCAGTGACCAGTGAAGGTTGCAAAGACTTGCAGTGTTTCCAAGAGGCGGCTCGTGCACGTGGTGGTTAGTCTTTGGGGCTGCAGGCATGACAGGGGGTCTTGTAGGGACAGGGAGTTCTGCAGGGGTGATCAGGTGACTGAAGTGGTGACCTAGGTCACTGTGATAGGCCTTGCTACCACCACTGGGCAGCCCAACAGGGCATTCCAGGGGGTCTGAAGCACCGAGATTCAGGAAGAGGCCAAGGCCAGTTCATGGAGGCCACTGAGAGATGGACATGGAGGGTTTTGGTAGTTCTGAGGCCCAGCCATTTGTCTGTGAAAGGTGGTTTCTGGAGAGAGAAATGTCTAGGAAAAGAGATGCTCCTATGAAACTGGCTGAATTTGGAGTCTTTCACTAGGAATGGTTTCAAGACCTGCTCTTCACCTTCAGAGGATCCGGAGTGGGGTGTGGGCAGAGGTTGGCATCACTCCAGGGCACTCGGGGCAGGGGCAGGATGCTTATGGAATCTGCTTGAAGAAACACTGTTGCTCCACTTTCCGGCGCACACAGCCACGGGTCGAAGTGGTGAGCACGGAGAGCCTGCAGACGCCCGCGCCAGTGAAGCGGGAAGGCTGTTCTAGGTCGGGCTCGTGGAGCGGAAAAGCCCGGCCAGGCTTCGGGATCAGACAGAGCTGGTTAGAACGCTCACCTTGCACAACCTACAAATGTAACTTCAGGTTCATGTCTTCACACCTCCAAGCATCAACTGCCTCTGTGTGAAGTGAGGCTAAAGACACCCACCTCATCGAATTTTTGTGAGGATTAATAAGGCATGGTCAAGCGCTTGGTCCGTGGAGAGCGGCTCTCCAGGTAGCAGTTAATCATGATGCCGGCAGGTAATAAATGTGGCGGAGACCCACAGTGCTCATACCCATGGGCTCCTGTGCTGCCCAGGCCCTCTTGCAATCTGGGGCCACGTGACAGGGTTCTGCCCCATGGGACATAAGCAGATGTGACGTAAGCTGGTTCTGAGCCTGACCTTTAAAAATACCCCAGGCAGCCCTGGCCCTCTCTTCATCTCCAACGCCCTTGGCATAGTTCGAGATGGACCACAGCATGAGGGATAAGTAAACCTTCACTGTGATAAACCTCTGGGATTCTGAGGATTACCTATTACTGAAGCATAGAATTCCCCGTGCTGACTAACAGACATGCTGTAATGTTCACAAAAATCTTTGTTAGTGGTTTATAAGTAACAATCCTTGCCTGAACATTTTTATATCTCCCAACTGATCATATTTCACTGGAATTATGCGTGATGGGACAAACTTCAAGAAAAAAAAACATTAAGAGATATTCTGTTTCATTTCTTATGAAGCACATTTTATCAGAACTCTAAACATATTAATTATGGCCTTTACTAAACCACAAAACATCTTTCAAGAATAGCTCTCAGATGTAGCAATGCTTATTAGTAGGAATATGTTGACCCAAAATCCATCAGTTATGAAACACATTTTGGTTGGGCCCATACCCAGTGCAGGGCGTGCTGGCCCTAGGGGAGCTGGACTCAGCCCGGCTGTCCTGCCGAAGCTCACAGCCCCGTGCAGGCCAACAGCGGCAGCTGGGACTAACAGTGAAGCCCTGAAAGGGTTGGTCAGAGAGGGGGACGTGGAAAGGAGGACTGGGGTACAGGCAGGCAGCCTGGGGACAGCTCAGCGCTGCCTCCCCACTTGTTTCAGCGGTCCTGCTTCCAGCAGCCCTCGTACTGGTTGGTGCCGGAGCCAACTGCGTGAGCGGTGCAGGGCGTGCCTCTGGTCATTAGCACTCTGACCTCGAGGTGACCTGCCAAACGACTGATGCTGCTTCCCAGGAGTCTGGGTTTCCTGTACCTGGCTCCTAGAGTTTGGAACAAGGAAGCATGTGAAATTTAGCTCTAAGTACAAGACCTGACAAGCCTTTGGCCGGGATTTCTGAGGTGGCTGTCGCCAGAGAAGGAAGCAAAGCAATGTTCACCACAGGTTCCTGTTGATAATGATCATTTCTGCGGCCAGACTGAAAAAACTGACTCTGGTTACAGACAGCTGGTTCTCCGAGCCTGGCAGATATTGGCTTCCCCAGCCCTGCAAGACACTGTGGGGTGGCGCTTCCCTCCAGCAGAGGAAGCCAGGCCACGTGGGAAACTGTGGTTTTATGTGGGCAAAGGGGATTGGATCCTTCACTATACAGATATATAGCGTTCTTATTGTTTGTTTGTTTTAAACAATGAATGTTAACGCCTCAGACACTTCTGGAGGCTGAGAAGTCCAAGATCAAGACAGACAGATTTGGTATCTGGTAACAACCTGCTTCCTGATTTCATAGGTGGCCATTTCCCCCTTGTGTCCTTACATGGCAGAAAAAGGCAACAGATACATAATTTTTAATGCCTCCACCACTGGGCTCAGTGCTGGGAAGACAGCAATGAACGAGACAAACACAATCCTGGTTCCCTTGGAGCTCACAACTGACACCGAGTAGCTGCCCCGGTAGTTATACTGTGATGAGAGCTGTGGAGAAGCGCAGGAGGCCATGAAGGCAGAACAGAGGCTGTAACCTGCTTACGGAAGGCTTGCTGGAGGACGTCAGAGCTGGGCTGAGAGCTGAGCGCCGGGTGGGCAGCCCATGGGGAGGCAGCGTGAGGAACAGTGAGGAGCGCAGGCTGTAGAGCCAGTCTCCCTAGCTGGAATCCAGGCTCTACCACTTAGCAGGCGTGTGGCTTTGGGCAAGGTACTTATCCCCTTTGTGCCTCAGTTGCCTCGCCTATAAAATGGGGGTAAGAGTTGTGAGAATTAAAGGAGTTAGTACACACAAGATGCTTCAAGAATCGCTAGCATACAGGAAGAGCTACATAAGTGTTGGTGATGGGGAAGGGCAGGAATTAAAAAGGGAAGGATCTGAAGAAAGACGCTTTTTATGTTCAAGTCACTGGAAGAAATCCATTAAGGCAGCTTTGTAGTGGGTGTGGCAGGGTGTGGAGCAAAGTAGCAGGGAAGACTCAGAGATGAGACAGGGCCAGATGCAGGAGGGCCTGGGAAACAAGGTAAGGATTCCCGTCCTCCTGGTAGAGTAATGGGTAGAGTAATAACCAATTTCCCATTGATTATTTTTAAAGGGGAAGTGACGTAAGGTCTGTATTTTTGTAAAAGATCTCTGTTGCTGAATGAGCAAGTTGGTGTCCGGGGGCCCACAGGGAGTGCAGAGGTGCAAGCTAGCAGGCCAGGGCTTTAGTCCAGGTGCGAGTGCTGGTGGGTTGCACCTCCGTGGAGAGGGAGAGGACAGATCTGATGATAATTTAGGAGCTAAAATTGACTGAATTTTGCAACTGACTGGAGTAAGGGAGATACTGAATCTACCAGCCACACCAGAAAGAGGTGAGCACTGTCCTCACCAAAGGCATTTCCTCAGAGAAACAAATACCCCAGTGATACTGTTGCTTGGAGATTTTCTAAAACCAGTATTGTGGGTTATTTTTCAGAACTTGAATAATTCAACATTATTTTACTAGAACATAAGTCTTGATAACTTCCTTAAGACTCTAAGAACTAAGTCTTTCACTTTTGGCGGGAGTTGCTGGGCAGCACGGTGGGGCAGTGCCCTGGGATAGGCGTGCACCGTACAAAGGAAACGTGTCTGTCTTGGGTCCGAGGAAC